TTCAAAATGACAAGAACATCAGCAAGTACCTTAAGTACTTACCAGCAAATACAAAGAAACCTTATTACAACTGTTTATACTTTGTCAAAACAACATTTCGATCGCCAAGATCTGATTGGATTAACTTTCACTTTCCATAATTTATCTGTCGCGAAGGAAAATGGGGGATCGGTTATTGTTACCGATCGATGACTAATCCGCTCCGCGATCGTTAGTATTCGCTACATAAGGGCGCTAACTGACTCGATTATGGTACGGGACCATGGAGAACAAAGGACCACCAGCGTGACAATTGAACTTCATCGTGCTGATATAAAGTTACAGATGCGAAGGGAGAAAATAAGAGACGAATATTAAGTCGGCATACAAAATGGCCGTCACGAAGTGAAAAAAAAGGGGATGCGTTAGCTCCTCTCGCTTCTGCAGTAGGTACCACATGCTGATTCACAGAATACGATGCGCGTAGGGGACGAGGAACGTGGCACGCATGCGCCAACTACGCGATCGAAAGCTCCGCCCGAAGACAGCCTTTGTTTAATCCACGGTACCTACGCCCACGACATGTGGCCAACAAACTACGAATTTGTTTCTCGGCGGGATCCTAATCTTGGATTGCAATACGCCGCAGATTATAAAAACCATGACGTAAATAAGAATTCGCAAGTATGACGTAAAATATATCAATGAGTTCAAAGCGTTTTTTATTGCATAACCATAATTTAGGTTATGTAATGATGTTTTCAGTGTCGTGCAAGTCTGAAAGGTTATTTTTAGTAACATAAATTTGCAATAGATAAAAATGAGAAATTGTTGCAAATTATTAAGTTATATCCAAATGAAACATGAGAATTTGAGAGGCATAAATGTAAATTTAGGTATTACATTATTTCATATTCAATAAATACAAAAAAATGTAGAATTGTAATTAATATATTGTAATGTTATAAATTGATGCAATGTATACATCATAAAAAAATTTTGTTGTATATGGTAGCGTGGCCGAGCGGTCTAAGGCGCTGGTTTAAGGCACCAGTCTCTTCGGGGGCGTGGGTTCGAATCCCACCGCTGCCAACTTTTTCTATATATTAATAATTTTTTTAATTTTTAAATTAGTAATTAAAAATAAATATTGCAAAATTAACATTGCTGAAATAAAAGAAATTAAATAATAATCAAAATAACTAATTTACACACTTTTTAAGCAGATATATAAAAACAATTTTAACATTAATAATGAAAATATTAAAATAATTGCATATTTATATGTAAATAATATAAATCTAATGTAAAATTATACGAATAAAATAATAGAGATAATAATAGAAATCCTGCATTACCATCATCATGGAATTATCTAGTATCGATAAGGAAGTAATCTGTAATAGCACTAACATGTAGGTAAAATAGGTAAAATAGGTAATAGAAAAAATATTGAATCAATGATTGAATATATTCATCTAAATCATTTTTGTTTTCTAAATTAATTAGAAGTGAAATAAATGTTTTCTTGCATGTATTTTATTATATGTTAGTGTTTTTGAAGATTATTTCTTACACAGCAAAGTATATTCATATACTTCGTTTGTATTTCTTACAAAGATATCGATAAATTCCATTAATTACATATTATGAAAAAGAATAGAGTTGATTGAACAAAAACTAATATTTAAAATCAGGCGCGCATAAAATAATCGTCTTTTTAAAAAAGAATTTTGATAGACAAAAATATATTCAATGTTACGTGATAATTTCTTACAGTTATAGCAATCTGACAAAACATGCGAATTCACAGTTCTTCATAAATGAGTCATGCAAGTGTTTTTCAAGAAACAAAATTTCTAGAAACTCTTTAGTAAAATTCATTTTGACGTTGAACACGGATCCGATAAGAAGGTCCATACTTGTACTTCTCATGATGACCTCTACTCTGATCTACTTAAGATGAAAACTTTGGTCACTAATACATTGTCTTTGCTGAAAGCGGGGAGTTTTATATATGAACGTCGCGAATAATATTGATCTATATCTTTAGATTAAACTTTAAGAATTGTTTGATCGAATTCTTTGTCACGATCGTCGAAACACTATTTCAAACTTACATTTTTACGGGCATAAATGTATACATATATATAAAGATTTGAAAATTATAAATTTGTTTCGGTGTATAATTAACGTAAAATTATCACGAAGTTGCGAACAAATTTAAAGGAAAAAATTTTTCACGTATATTATTTTTTTAACAATCATGATTATAAATGATAAAATTGTACATGTGTCAATTTTGGAGATAGTTAAATTACATCTTCTCTCTTTTGTGTATGGCTTGTGTTTAATAGTGAAAAGATTTCCTAAATGGGTCTGGAATCCCAAGAAGTTTTTCATGATGCAACAACGAGATAAGCCTCCGCCTTGTCTCGTGGACAATAATTTAGGAACCCATTCTTATGTAAAAATCAAAGTAAGTGCATAATCAAAGTTTCTATTATAGGTCAATAGTGCACATAACGTGAAAAACATTTCGATTGAAAGCGTCCAAAAGATATATAATGGTTAACTTTTAGCAACCTACTAGTTTGATGCATACGTTCGATTTCGATCGATTATAATATATTTTTAAGAGATGTCGGTAACACCTATGTTAATTTCATTCTTAAATATAACGTACAATTCAATTTATGTCGTGTCAGCTTTTTCATTATCATTTTACTTTTTTTTTTTGTTAATAATTTTTCATTATTCACATTAATGACAATTTGGAATTTCTTTCCATCAAACAAAATACATTCCTAATTTAATAGTATTAGAAAATAAAAAGGTAGAAAACTATAGAAATCAAAATTTATTTCAAGAGTAAAAAAATTTTTATTTTCCTTATAGGGTGTAAAATTTCATTATGTAGAAGCTGGAAATAAAAATGATCCACTTATATTACTCTTACATGGATTTCCTGATTGTTGGTTGTCTTGGAGAGAACAAATACCATGTCTTGCTCAACATTATAGGTTTAAAATTCATTTTCTTTAATATTTTGGTAAAATTGTAAGATTTTTTTTTCATAACAATCATATGTTTCAGAATAATAGCAATAGATTTGAAGGGGTTTGGAGACAGTGATAAGCCAGCAGCTAAAAGTTGTTATAAAATACGAATTTTAATTGAAGAATTGAAACAATTTATTTTAACTTTCGGAGTAAAACAATGCAGCATAATTGGTCATGATCTAGGAGGACTTTTGGGATGGTATATGGTGACCCTATATGGGGATATGATTCATAAATTTATTCCAATTTCGTGTCCACACCCTAATTTTTATTGGAACAGGACACCTGGAGATTCCATTTTTGATTTAAAGTAGGGCTGTTATAACCATATGTTTTCTAAAATATTTTATTTCTAACATAAATATATTCACGTATATTGTTGTTTAGATGGATACATTTCAGTAGATTACCATTTCTACCTGAGATTGATGCTCTTAAAGAAGATTTATCAGTGATAAATGATGCATTTCAACATCTTCAATTAAATAATGCAAAAAGTGAGAAAGATTATGTAGAAGCTTATAAGTACACATTTAGTAGGAAAGGTAAATAACTACAAAAAATTTTAAATAATGTCTGTTATATAATGTTATATAAAAAATGTTATATAAAAAATAACAAAATCAAAATGGTTAATTATAGAGGATTGGACAGGTGCAATCAACTATTATCGAAATCTTCCATTTATAAGACTTAATACAGATAATTGTGATCAAATTTCTACTAGAACTTTACTTATAATTGGAAATATGGATCCAATTGTAACAATAGAAAGTATTGTACAAAGTTCTGAATATATTAAAAACTTTAATGTGAAAATGATCTCTGGAGCACAACATTTTCCACACCAACAAAAACCAGATATAGTGAATGAAGCAATCAAGCTTTTCATGGGTAAGTCATTTTATAAACTTTTATAAATATCACATATATTAGAAAATGAATAAATTATGTTTTAGGTACAAAAACTCATTTAGAAAAACCATCATCTAAAAATATTATGTCTTCATGGCTTGGATCTCTTAGTAATACTGTCAAATATGGTAACCATATGTTTGATACTGTTCATAAAAAGACTAGTGGAGTAGTTAATGTTCTACCTAGCAAAGTATTTTACTTAGGTCAAACTACAAGTTAAATTATATTTATATCTCTATTAAAATGTAAAACCCACCAAAGTCTTTTTGTATTTTCTTTATTTAAACTTTGGTCCGAGAGCAGCAGAAAATATCTAGTTATTTTTCATCATAGAATAACAAAAGATCAGAACATAAAAAGACTTAAATAATCTTATATAGTTAAACTATAAAATACTCAACAAATTAATCTTTTTACCTTAATAACTACATATACAAACATAAAAAAGGCTGATTTGTTTTAATATGTTTTGTTTAATATTATTAATATTATTTACATTTTACAACTGAGATAATTTTAGAGGAAAAATGATATGTTTTGTTCTTGTAATAATATAAATATATAAGTTTTAAGTATAGTATGAAAAGATCTGTAAAGTAACTGTATATAAAATATATTAAGACATTTACATTAAATCAAATACATGATATACTATATAATATACTGTAAATAATGGTTAAAATTATTTTTCTCAAAATATTGTATATATTTATTGAAATAATTTGATAGAATGTAAAGAATAAATTAAATTGTCGATTATAAAAATATTATATATTTATTATAATTAAAAATATGTATACAATTACAACTTTTAATGTAATTTTTTTATGTTAAATATATTAAATTTATTCTTTTAAACAGTCTGCTTCATTGTCTTACTATGTTTTTCTTTTATTAATAACTTTAATTATTTTGTTGCATCTTTTCTAATTTGTTTCCTGTGATAATAATCAGAATTTATAAAATTATTTAAAAGTAGAGAATCAAAAACCAAAATTAAAATCATGTTACTTTATACCTACTTCCCGAAATTTTCACCATCTTCAATAGTTTCTGGTAATTCACAGTTCATTGTTTCTGGCAGTAGAAAACATAATAAAGCACCAAATAATGGTCCAACTCCAAATATTAATGGTGGTAACCAAGGTTCAATTTTTCCCTAAATATACATATAATTCAATATATTACGATTATGCATTTAATTAAATATATAATAAAAATGAAAAATTACCATTGTTGCAATATATGGTGCAATCATACTTCCAACTCTTGCACAGACACTTCCTAAACCAACACCAACATTTCTGATTACAGTTGGAAATACTTCACTGCTGTACAAGTATATTGTTGGAAAACTAAGTGACATTCCTGCAAGACCTAATGTAGCTAAAAATACTGTGAAATTTGAATTTGATATCACAGTTAGTAATAGTAAACTTGCAGCAGATAAAAGATTTCCACTTATTAAAATTCTTAAACGTGATACCCGTGATATTAAAAGCAAAACTACCATAGTTCCAGGTAGTTCAGCAGCAGCTGAAAATAGTAGATCAAATTTTAGATATGTATTCTTGTTAAATAAAAATAGGTATTATATAAACTTACCAGATACAGCAACATTCACAAAAATGTTACCATCAATATAACCCATATATTGTGCTAATCCAAAAAAACAACTACCACACACAAACCAATTAATGCATATACAAATAGTTTTTAATCTTAGATTTGGAGTTCTGAACAAGTGTGTAATATTATATTTTTCTTTATTTTGTTTATGACGAAGTCCCACATTACTTTCGTATGTTTCAATTGCTATTTTAACATTTTCTATTGGTATTTTATTTCTGCTTGCTGCTTTGATTAGAATTTGCTCTGCTTTTGTAAATTTGCCAACAGCAAGTAACCACCTTGGTGATTCAGGTATAATCCTATAATATATAAAAATATGTCTATTTTAACTTGATGGCAAAAAGATATTTGATATTAATAAAATTTTTAAATCAATAATAATAGTGTTCAATAATTAACACTAACATACCAATAATATGATAACAAAAAAAGTGATGGTATGGAAACTGCCATTTGAAAACCATCCCATGTATGTGTTAAATATGAAATTAAAGGATTCATTAAATGACCTAATAAAAATGGCACATGAAAGAGAACTGACATAATTGAACGCCATTCTATTCCTACAATCTCCATAACTATAATTTAACACATAAATTAAATGATACACTTCTATAAATCTATATATATTATGTTACTTATACAATATATTAATCACTTACGTAAAACAAAACTAACAAGCATAGTACCACCTGTAGCTATGGCAGAAATAAATTTAAATATTACAAATAGTTCAAACCATGGAACAAATGCACATATAAATCCAGTTAATGATTGCAATCCTAAAGCAACCATTAGAGGCTTTTTCCTACCAATTCTGAAAAAAAAAAAAGATTATTTTAAGTAATTTGTAACTTTTTTTATTTATACGTATGTATTTATTCCTTTTATTACTTTTATTATTTATTACATTGTAATAACATTTATCATACCGATCGGCCATTATACTGAACACTAAATTACCAATAAGAACTCCAAACATTACACAAGATTGTACAAAATTTGCTAATTGTTCTCTATCACAGACCAAGTCCCACTAAAAATAATTAAATGTAGTATTATAGGAATTCATATATTTGAAGATAATAAATTAGAAATTCAATTTACTTGAGTTACAATACTCTCTTTAAATATGCGCTTGTCATATTTAAAACTTGTACACTTCTTCATGGTACCATTTCCTACATCTACATAACATTTTAATATTGTAGATTCATTAGTCATTGAGATTGGTGCGGCACATGAAAAATTAGTTGGAGGTGCAAGAAATACAATGGAAAGTTGATGCCAAGCAACTGGAAATTTTACAAGGGACAATGCCACAGCAATAACAATATGCCATGGGCCCATCACACCCATAGCGTTTTGTATCACATCTAATGGTGTATGTTCTGAAACAAAATATCCTTAATTATTTATATATAATAATTTTATCTTATACTAGATAATACCTTAATAATTAAAATTGAAATTAAAATTAAAATGATAATGACTAAATTAAATTGAAATAGAAAAAATATCATATATATAAAATTTGAATTATAATTGCCGCCAATAATCTCTTTATTATCGATGGATGGAAAATATTAATATTTTTGTATTTAAAATTTATTTTTAATTTAAATCTTTTTATTAATTTTTATTTCAATTAATATTATAGAAATATTTATTAAAAAATATTTATACAATAACGTTGGAAATATTATTACCTGTAATTTATCAACATTGTTAAATATTCTTATGATTAAATGATTGTAACATGTAATTCTCTAAATATAATCACAGGCATAGACAAGATATATGAATAGATCTTGCATCTTATGAGATTTCGTGTCCCATGCTCTAATAAATACCGATATAATAAAATAATATTTTAACGTAACTCTATGCTTAAACAACGATAAATTGGGGAATCATATTAAGTAAAACAATTGAAGTAGTTAATGCGCCAAAAATATGATTTTTGGAATCCATTACATTGTTGATTTTTTAAACTACAAAACTTCGTTATTTATTTAATATAAATCATCATTTCATGAAGATTTAATGAAAAAATACAGACATATGAAATATATCCTTATATATCTCGCAAAATTAATTAAATTTTCAACTAAAGACCACTAATTGTTAACTATTTTACAATTTCATTGAACTTTATTAGGGCAAGATAAGATTTTCCATTCGATTTTCCAACTCTCTGACGTAAAAATATTGTGTGAATGTGAAAATATGTATATGGCATCGTTTAAAAAAATAAATTTGACTTCATAATTTCGAAACGGACGATTTGCAAAAAATAATTTATAGTACACAATCTTTTATTCCAAACAGTATTTGTAGAAACATTTTTTTGATAAGTCCGATTTTTTCTAAACTTAAATTTTGATAAGTCCGATCTTAAATTTGATAAAGATAATTCACTTAAGCTGTGGATTTATATATTTAGAAGAAAGAGACGTCATTTAATTATGTTATCTTATATTAAAATATCATATTTCAATCAATTTTTTCTAATATTTTTAAATAGATGTAAATAATCAAATATATAATAAATTTTTCATCCCAATTACCATCGATCGCTGTTTTAAATCATTATATTCTTTCATTGATGAAGTACCGCTATGTTCAATTCAATAAATAATTCTCGAAGCAGATGTGGCGATACTGTCCATATTTTTTTATTTTAATTCTCCTCAACATTGCTGTACAAAACCTGACTAAATTGATACGACAGGACGTGACACGAAAATGATAAGGAGATCGAAATCGTAGGATAAAAAAAATACATTATATGTAGGTCTATTTATATGTGTACCTCGTCTGTCGTGTAACAGTAGTATTTATACGACTCAAATTACTGCAACATAATCTTGAAATCAGAGGATCATATGTTATTGTAGGCGAGCCACATATGTTTATGAAGTATAATGTTTATTATGCACAGATATTATTGTAGTGTATAGTTATATAAATAGTTATAATCTTTATAAAATCATAAAAAAAGTACGTGTATAAACATTTAAATTTCTAATGTACTATGAACTACGTATGCATCTAAAATAAAATTCAGAAACGACCGAAAAATAAGTATAAATAGATAGAAGGAAAGTAGTAGCAAGTTTTCTAAACACATTTTCAAATATTTGGAATTCAACAAGTACTTCTTTTACAATTTACGTATTCTGATATATTTCGAACTATTATCTAAATTAGTTAGATAAATCTTTGCATAATAATAATTTGTCGTTAAAAAATAGAATTCGTTAATAAATATGATTATATAAATATTCATTAATATTTTTTCCATTCTAGTACTTTTCGAACAATTTGGAAATATAGAACGAGGTATATGATCGTCTGTGTAGAAACATTACAAATAAACACCAGATATTGTAGAAGTATACATTTCATTGTATGAAAAATACATAAGTAATAACATAGGTCATTTATTAATAGATCATAGATAAATCATAGATCATCTGAGAACAAATAGATAAGTACGGAATTTTATATACAACTTATATATAACTCCATACACAATGTATTTTACATTATAATTGGAGTAATAGATTTTAAAACTCAGTTAAAAATTAAAATTTAGAATATTGCAAAATTAAAACTTATGTGCACTATTTCGTAAGAAATTTATTTTTTATGCAACAAAGAAATTTTATCTTTTTAGTTTGTAAATTATATTTCTTAAAACGAAAATTAATTACTTCAATACTTAGATCAATAAATTGAGAAGTTTTATGGATAAAATTTTAATTTAACTAAATTTAATACACACTTTTAAAGAATTTCGTCGCAATTCCAAATACATGTAGTTTTTTTTATTATAAATACTGATTATAACTAAACACATATAGATTTTTATTATAAATTATTATTTATAACTACAAAAGTTAAAAAGAATATATATATAATATCTAAAAATTTATCTTTTTAGAAATCAATAGTATATTACATATAAAATCTATGAAAAATCTATGTTTCTTTTAAT